TTAATTCTGCATTATCTTAAAATCTAAAATTCCCATCCTGCTTTTGTAAATTGAGTTTGAAGCTAGACTCATGTATCTACAAACTCACATGAGGCCAGGTACTTAGGGCCAATAAAAGTATTTTTCCATAATTATTTCCCTACTAGTTTAAATCTGAAAATCTAAAAATTTGTGTTAATGTACTCTTAATTGGCTTGCAACTCTTATGTGCTATGTTTCTTGAATGTTTAAGTCTTGATATGTAAACTATGATAAATTGTAAATTTTTTTTACCATGCATAAATTACTTTATGTTTAGTTTGGCTTCGTAATTATCTTGACCATGCTTTGCTATAACTGAGAGCATATTGCACTTGATAAAATGGAAATCAAATAGGGTGGTAATGAATTGCGATCATTGTACTAAATTTTATGGAATAATGAATGATGGATTCAAAATTACAATATAGTGGAATGTATTCCATTTTGGTGAAGTCTTGCACAAGTGTGTTTTCGAACCCTAACATGGCACGGGAGGTATTCTGGCTGCTTAACGGAATTGGGAGATATAAGGGTGGCAGTGAGGGTCTCACACAGGGAAAGTATCCCTGGAAGCCCGTTTTCTTGGGACAAACCGTGATGTCACCACTCAGGTATGTAAACTAGGTGCGTGGGCATCATTGGTAATTGTGCGGTAAGTGACACACTAGTGATTATGCAGTAAGCAACGCATTGGTATTGTATTAACTAAGGGGGAGTCAGAATTGCCTGTGGCGAGTGTTAGTAGTTGGGTAGGAACGACATTCCGCAGGGAGTTGCCTAGAACTAACTTAATTGACTGTTATTCATGAGCACTATTAGTCATGAGAATTGAAATTGACTATTATTCATGAGAACTAAAATTTATTATAACCTTTTATTAATTATTATTTTTGTTTTATATTATGATCATGCCGTTATTTTACTTGTGTATTTGGAATGGCAAAATGGACTGGATGTGTATGTTTACTAGACATTCCAAGCTCATGGCGTTTTATGCCAGGTGAAGGCGAGTTTTACACCGAGAATGGAATCCCTAAAAGCTTTGAGGAACCATGGCTGCCTTAGAGATTAGATTTTCTATTTCCTGTATTTTGGATGATCTTTTTGTATCAAGAAACTGATCTATAATTAAAGACTTGAAAAAAAATTATCTGTAACTATTATTAATATTTTCTTTTAGTGTAATTATTTGTATTTTGTGCTAAAAATGTTGTGTATTCGCTAGTTAAATCCCGGTGTATTGTTGTACTATATTATTGATGTTCCTAAAATTTGGGGCGTCACATCTAAAAAGTCCTCTCGATATGTATAAAAAAAAAAAAACTTTTGGGGACAATTTTGAAAAATGTTGCTAATAAATGCACCTTTAAGATCAAAATAATTTGGTGCCAAAAAAGTTAAATTTTTGAGAGAAAAATTTTGATCATAAAAGGATAGTAATTTTGATCATAAAAATTTTGCTAATAAATGCACCTTTAAGATTATTTTTTTTTGTTAATGTTTTTTTATGAAAAGATTAAAAAAGGAGGAGAGAGGGAGAAGGAAATTGAGGAGTAAATAATTTTTTTAATGTTTAGCTAGTGATTTTGACTAGCTAAATTTGGCTAGCAAAAAGTAGCGGAAAAAAAGAAAGAAATACACCTTTTGAGATTTGATTAAAATACGAATAGCCTCATGTGATTCTAAAAATTACATTCCACCCCCTGAGATTTTTAATTTCATAACAAATCGCTCTTTTATTAATAAATCATCAAGTCACTTAACAGTTTTTAATAATGTTAGCAATATGTTTGAATTAATAATTTAGATAATTTTATTATTGTATGGGAGAACAATTATGAATTTCATTTTTTTAGTTAATTTTGTTAAATAAAAAATTCTAACAAGGAGGTATTTGTAATTTTCCAAACCACAGGAGGCAATCTGCACTTTAAGCAAACTTTAGGGGATGAATTTATAATTTGCCAAAAAAATAAAAAAAAATAAAATAAAAACAAAAATAAAAATAAATAAGAAAATAGCTATACCTCATTGGAAAATTTTAGATGGACTGTTGAAATTATTTTTTAATATTAAAAAATAGGCAAATAGCTCTACCTCACTGAAAAATTTTAGATTATCCATTGGAATTATTTTTTAATATTTTGCCTTATTTTTTAATAACCAAGTTAGACTAATTTGAGGATTTCTGTTAAGTTTTTGTTATTGACAATCCCATTTGACAAAACTCTTTTCAGTTGTAAGTTTATTCGATCTTTTATTTTAGTTAGGCTATGAGTTTTTAGATGCAAATCCAACCCAAATTGTGTCTTGCAGACGAGTTTGTGATCTTGATTCTTTCATGTTTGCCACTTCGTTGACAATGATTATCCAGTATTTTTTAATAGGATTTATGAAAAAATCTTTCTTACTTAACATTTGATGAGAGTTTATACATATTTATACTCAGTGTATTATCACTGAGTTTGTTACAAAACAAACTAACTAATTCACAATCTAACTAACTACCAATATAACTAACCATAACCATATCTATTATCACATGTGTGAGCTGAGCTGTATGTTGGCTTCTCTGTTGGCTGCATTATCTGTAACTATTATTAATATTTTCTTTTAGTGTAATTATTTGTATTTTGTGCTAAAAATGTTGTGTATCTGCTAGTTAAATCCCGGTGTATTGTTGTATTATATTATTGATGTTCCTAAAATTTGGGGCGTCACATCTAAAAAGTCCTCTCGATGTGTATAAAAAAAAAAAAAAAATTTTAGGGACAATTTTGAAAAATGTTGCTAATAAATGCACCTTTAAGATCAAAATAATTTGGTGCCAAAAAAGTTTAATTTTTGAGAGAAAAATTTTGATCATAAAAGGATAGTAATTTTGATCATAAAAATTTTGCTAATAAATGCACCTTTAAGATTATTTTTTTTTTGTTAATGTTTTTTTATGAAAATATTAAAAAAGGAAGAGAGAGGGAGAAGGAAATTGAGGAGTAAATAATTTTTTTAATGTTTAGTTAGTGATTTTGAATAGCTAAATTTGGCTAGCAAAAAGTAGCGGAAAAAAAGAAAGAAATACACCTCCTAAGATTTGATTAAAATACGAATAGCCTCCTGTGATTCTAAAAATTACATTCCACCCCCTGAGATTTTTAATTTCATAACAAATCGCTCTTTTATTAATAAATCATCAAGTCACTTAACAATTTTTAATAATGTTAGCAATATGTTTGAATTAATAATTTAGATAATTTTATTATTGTATGGGAGAACAATTATGAATTTCATTTTTTTAGTTAATTTTGTTAAATAAAAAATTCTAACAAGGAGGTATTTGTAATTTTCTAAACCACAGGAGGCAATCTGCACTTTAAGCAAACTTTAGGGGATGAATTTATAATTTGCGAAAAAAAAAATTAAAAAAATAGGCAATTGGCTATACCTCATTGGAAAATTTTAGATGGTCTATTGCAATTATTTTTTAATATTAAAAAATAGGCAAATAGCTCTACCTCACTGAAAAGTTTTAGATTATCCATTGGAATTATTTTTTAATATTTTGCCTTATTTTTTAATAACCAAGTTAGACTAATTTGAGGATTTCTGTTAAGTTTTTGTTATTGACAATCCCATTTGACAAAACTCTTTTCAGTTGTAAGTTTATTCGATCTTTTATTTTAGTTAGGCTATGAGTTTTTAGATGCAAATCCAACCCGAATTGTTTCTTGCAGACGAGTTTGTGATCTTGATTCTTTCATGTTTGTCACTTCGTTGACAATGATCATCCAGTATTTTTTAATAGGATTTATGAAAAAATCTTTCTTACTTAACATTTGATGAGAGTTTATACATATTTATACTCAGTGTATTATCACTGAGTTTGTTACAAAACAAACTAACTAATTCACAATCTAACTAACTACCAATATAACTAACCATAACCATATCTATTATCACATGTGTGAGCTGAGCTGTATGTTGGCTTCTCTGTTGGCTGCACTTGTGCCTTGAGCTTGAGCTGCTGATGCTGAGATGAGTCTGGCTTGAGCTTGAGCTGCTGACGCTGAGATGAGTCTTCCTCAATACTCTTATCGTTCCCCCGCAAACCAATGGGGCTGGAAAGCACCATTAGTTTGTCCTTAAGATAATGAAACCGAGAAGAAGACAGAGGCTTAGTGAAAATGTCAACAACCTGATCAACTGAAGGAATATAAGAAAGAGAAATCTGTTTAGAAACAACTCTTTCACATATGAAATGGCAATCTATTTTAATATGTTTTGATCATGCATGAAAGACTGGATTTGAAGCTAAGGCCATAGTGGAGACATTATCACACCAAAGAACAGGGGAAGGTGAACAAAAGATGGACAACTCTTTGAGAAGCTGTTGAAGCCAACATAGCTTAGTAGCAGTATGAGCCATGGCTCTATATTCAGCTTCAGTGGAGGATCTAGAGACACTGGCCTGCTTTTTAGCAGACCGGGAAATAAGAATTCACTACAAAAAAATGCACTTTTGCCGACTAAAACATTTTTAGTCGCCAAAAGTATAATATTTGGCGACTAAAAATTACTTTGTCGGCATTGGTTCAAATATATAGCTATCAAAATATTTTAGTCGATAAATATTTATAATTGGCGACTAAATTTCAATTTAGTCGGCAAAATTTAATTTTTTAGCGACTAAATAGAAGATTAGTCGCTGTTAGTGTACATTTTAGGTGAAAAAAATAAATTTAATCTATAATATTGCTTTTTCCCGACTAAATTGTAACTTAGTCGCGAAAGGTGACATTTAGCGACCAAAATGTTCGTCGCTGTTGAGTGATAGTTGGCTACCAAAAGATTTTAGTCGGCATAATTTATTTCCTTTCCGACTAAAATTTAAATTAGTCACTAAAAGGTTGAAGTTTCAACCCGCGCCACTTCTTTTATTGCTGCGCGCGCGTTGATCTGCTTGGCAACAGTGTATCACTCACAACTTCACAACAGTGTATCACATACACACCTCACCAAATCTCACACAAATCAGCCCCTCTCATCGTAGCCTACCGTATGGGCCATTGCGACGACCACCGCCACCGCCACCGGCGCAACTCACCACCGTCGCAGCTGCACATCACAGGTTCTCTCTCTCTCTCTCTCTCTCTCTCTCTCTCGCTTTCGCGCTCTGCTTCTCACTCTGTCTGTGCGTCCGTCTCTCGCTCTCTCGCTCTATCTCCCACAATCTATACTTCTTCTGTGTTCATATATATATATAAATATATATGTATGTGCAGTTTTTGTTTTTGTTTTTTTATTATATATATATATATATTTGTAATAAGCAGAGTTATATATGCACCTTACTTGCTTTAGGGTTTCAATTTCTGTATATTTACTATTGCGTGAAACTCTCACTCTGTTGACCCATTTTTAGAGTCAATTTGATGCACCTTACTTGTTTTACGGTTTCAATTTCTGGGTATTTGATACATTGTGCCTTTGACTATCTTATTTTGTAAGCTAGCAGATAGATTGGGGAAGATATATATATATATATATATGGGGCAAAGAGAATCTGGTGTAGGAGCTGTACTATTCTTTCTGGCACTGCATCACTTACTTTTCAAGAGAGTGAAATATCAATACATAGGTTAAAGGCCACTTTATATCGTAGTTTCACTTTTGGCTTCGAGGAAAATTTGTGAAACATCTTTTACTCTTTTAGATTTTTTGGGAGAGCTTTCTTTTGGAGAGGGTTTATAGTTTATTTTATTTATTTATTTATTTATTTAAGTTTTTTTCTTCTTTTGTTGGTATATGCCCCATCTGCCATGGTTGAATAAAATTACTTCATAAAAAGTGTGTGTGTATCCTCCATGTTATCTGGATATGCTTTCTCTCCATGTGATTGACAGAAACTTGTATGTTGTGCATGTGCAGTTTTCTGTTGAATGCTCTCTTCCCTGGATGGTGGTGGATCATATGATTGAGTCCCAAAATGCAGGTCTTCTGGAGAGTGTTTTAATGCCATTTGACATCTATAATGATTCTGCTTAGCAAGCATTAGTTATTCTCAAGCAACGCTTTCTCTATGATGAAATTGAAGCTGAGGTGATTGAATAAAATTGAAAAAAGTGAAGTTTTTCTTGTGAAGATTCTTTGATGATTTTTGTCTATTTTGTGGAGTTTTTTCTTGTGCATGGAAAATCTGCATATAATATGTTTTCCCTTGTCATACAATCTGAAACTTTTTGGTGAACTTCCAGCATCAAAGCTAATATTTAATGGAGGTGAGCAAGGATTGAAGTTTTGTTTTGGTGTTCCATTTGGTCAGCTTTGAAATGGAAAAGTTTCAGAAAAGTTTTGAATCATAAGGGAAATGAAAAAGAAAAAAAAAAAAAAACTTTATAAAATGCAATGAAATGTTTGGAAACAAACTTTAAAACCCATCCACACACACACATTTATATATATGTATAAGATCAACAATTGATTAAATGAACACGTTCGAGGTCTTTTGGTAATGGCTAAATGTGAAGAACGATGTTCAACGAAGGTCAAATAAATATTGAATTTAATAAACAAAAGTTTAAAGGATTTATTTGGGGATATGGAGTTTGCCTCTAGAAAATGTATGGCAGGTTCTATTAGTTGTAGATAAGAAAAAGAAGAAAGTGTTTGTGAGAACAAAAAATCTCCACTCCGAGCTTCAAACTCACTATGAGTGTCTCAATGATGTGTATTTTATTCAGTTGTGAATATTTTGTTTTCTTTTTTAGTTGGATCATTGTTTTGATATATTTGTTTCAAAGCTGTGTGAGACGATTTTTACCTATTACAAAAGTTGGGCAGCAAGGTATGCTCTTGCTCTGTGGTTTGGACCTGTCCTATTAAAATTGTTTTATCTTACTATTTCTTTCTTTCTTTTTTGTTTTTTTGGGTTATGAAATTCTTTAGTGAGCTACTTGATCCCTCATTCCTTTTTGCCCTGGATAATGGGGAAAAGTTTTCTGTCCAACCTATGAGATTCGCTGCACTACCTAACCTTGGTTAGGAAAGAAAAGAGGGATAAGTATGGGAGAAGAAAAAAACAACAGGAGAAGGGCAATACGATGATAAGGAAAGGGAATAGAGAGCAAGTGTAGCTGGCTATAGGGTTTCTTAAATTGCAGGCAACCCGCCAAAGTGCCAAAACCAGGTATATAAAGGAAGAAACCTTAAGAATCTTGCCATTTTTTTCTCAACCTATGTATCATCATCTCATGTAATCTTATGTCTCATGTCAGTTAGTTAATCATATTTGTACTGCAACTAGCACTTTAAAAGCTTTAGGGTGTGTCAACATTCACACATCATAAATACCCTAGTATGAACTGAAAAAGAATGAACAGAAATTATATTTCTGGGTTCTGTCTTATACATATTTTATTGTAATTGAATAAACCTGAGCAACTGTGTTGCGATCTTAATTTTCTTAAATGGCTGAAATTTCATTTTCCCACCCATTTTTGTTGTTATGATAGGATCTAAATTCTGCACACCAAAGCTTTGCTCGGTTACACAGTGGATTCTTTGGAATACCTCACATGTTTTCCATCGTCAGGTTTCTAGGGTCTAGATCATTGCATTGGCTTATCCGTGCCCTCCCGGATCATGTATCGAATAAGGTATGTAATGTTATGCAGTTTTTGTGTATTTGGTGAATGATGATGGTTATTAGCTTGAATAATTATCTTGATGCATCCCTTAAAACCTTTATTGAATTTGTTTTATTTGTTATGAATTGTTGTAAACAACTGATTAATAGCAAACTTATGATTTCATTAGCTATCTCTTGTTGAGTCACCAATTGTCCTAAAAGCTTAAGCTGTTAGGAAATGAGCCCAACAATGTATATCAAGCTATCCAATACCCTCCCTCACGTGCAATCTCATCTTGCACGTAGAGATGTAAACAGCTAACCAAATAGAAAGAGAAGCAGACAACCAAATAGAGAAGAAGAAACCAAACGGGGACCGAATACCAAATGCCAGAGGAGAAACTTGAACCGAAGACGTCTCTCAACTGAGCGTTGATATGATGTTAAAGTAGAGAGAAATATTATCAGAAGAATGAGAGAGCTTAACCTAGAGGGTTAGCTATATATTGAAATGAGTACAGCATTACATTGACATAAATACCATCAACAGTTACCAAACCCCTAAAACTACGGTGTTTTGAAAGGATTTTATCCTCTTATATGCCATGGATTATTTATTGCACTTGTCTGGATTCCATCAAAGATTTCTAGTTGTGGTTTTCTTTCTCTGGCTGATCTGTTTCAGATAACTACCCTTGAACCAATGATTACAGGACTGCAAGATGCATTGCCAAAATCAATTGGACTTCTTCCTTTCGATGGAGGAGTAACAGGTAGCTCAGAGTAGAATATAATTTTGCCTAAAATATTTAAGTCGTATCTTTTCCTTGGATTGAAGTTTATTTGTATGTACATTAGGTTGTTTGAGGCTTGTCAAAGAACATCTTCACTGGGTGTCAAAATCAGAACTCAAACAGAGGTTCTTCGTGGAATAAAGGAGTTGGAAGCGTATTATACTGGATGGGGCTTCTTCATATTGTTCTGGTGAGTTTCATGCATTATTTTTTCATTATACCTTTAAAAACCTCATAAGAGGGTGGGAAGTAAATTTCATTGCACTAACATATATATTAAATTAGTGAACAGGCAAATGTCGGATGACCAAGTGTATTTGTTGAATTTATAACTGAGATTATTCGGTAAAATATTGAATCCAATTAAATGAAAATAGTAGTATAAATGTCTCTTTATTGGTACACAGTAGAACAATTAAGCAAAGAGCTTAAGTTAAAAGTTTCTGCACTCTACTCTCATACAAAAGTTTGTTGATGACATGAAAAACTATTTTTTCTTTGTAATGCAATTTACTCTTTATAGATTGATAGGGAGAGATATGATTGCTTAATCTGTAAAGACTAAATTATAATGATCAATTGCATCTCTCCCTATCTGGTCAATTATAACGATCTCAAATGTCTGATTAATAGCTACGTTATTTGATAGAAGAGTCTAGATCAGAGCTTACTAAGTTGATTTGTAATAATGTAGTGATCAAATTTTTAACTGCAAGCTTCTCACAGTTCTTGTCTCACATGTGCTACAGAGAGAAGTGGATATCACGCATTTCATGCAAACAGCCCCATGGTTAGGCTTGATTCCTAGTGCAGATGGGCAAATATTGCAGTCCCAAGATGGGGGAGATAGCCCTATAGTCACTCTCTTCAAATCAGCAACTTCTACAGCTGTGTCAAACCCAGGGTTCTCAAATCCAACAGCATTCTACACCATATCAAAACAGGCAGAAGCTGCTGGTGCGTAGTTGCCTACCATCTCTCCTTGAATGAATGGTTTATTGGGGAGCTTCATTTATGTACACATGTTTTTTCTAAGTTCACATTATTTTTTTGTTTGGATATCAACTACCGAATGAAATCTAGTGACACTAGTCTGGATATTTGATAGTTTAATACGACAATATTTTATTTGCATACTCAACATGGATATTTTTTCATTTCTTGAAGCTTAGTGCTAACTATATACTTTTCGACTAATCTGAACCTCTCTATAAATCATTTCTTGAAGCTTAGTGTGATATACTTTATTGACATAGCTTTGCACTATAGGCCTCGTTTGGGAAGTGGCTATTTTAGTAGGCTATTTGGCTATTTTAGTGGCTATTTTAGTTTTTGTGTTTGGGAAGATGAGATGATTTTTTAGTTGAGTTATTGTATTGAAAAGTGTGTTGAAATGATGTTTAAATTTAAAATGACAGATTTATCCCTAACTTTTTATTTTTTAAAATTGATATAAAGGGGCAAAATGGTAATTTCGCCCTTGCTGCAACATGTCCAAAAAGTCAAATGAGGCTATAATAGCCTAATTTTCGGAATCCCAAACAGCGCCATAATAAGCTTAGATGCTCTTATGTTCTTGGTGTTCACCATCGTAGCAGGCATACTATTTCTTTATTGATTTCTTTCTACTTTGGGAACATTAGTGTTTCACTTACGCTACCCATACGTAGTTTGAAACAGTCTTTGCTCCTTTCTGTTTTTTTGGATAAGAAATGGTTGTCCATTATCTGTTGTCTTCAGTTAAGGTTATTCAAGATTTGTACTGCTCATGTATGTATAGCTTACAAGATCCAAACTTTTTGAGTGTATAGGGTTTACCTTTGTTTGGTGCTTTGCCAATAATATTCTGCTCATAAAAAAGGGCCTCCTTGAGAAGTGGTTACAGAGTTATTAATGTGAGAAAGGTTTAGAGGTCAATGGTGGCCTCAAAGTTTGGGTGTGTTTGGTGTGACTGGTCTAAGTAACTATGTTTGAGGTGACTATGTCCAGTTGTAGGATGAGTTCCTCATGCATGTTCATTTCCTATGGTGGCTTTTTTTCTTAATTGAGGAAAGAAAGTCTGGTTAGGTTTAGTCAAGGAAGAGAGCAGGAAATGGAACAGGAAAATGCTTAAGCTGATAAACAAATACAACTTCATCATTTATTTCATAAATAGTATTGACAATTATGTTAAATAATCTTTGGTTGTATATTTTGGTTGAAAATATACATTGCTCTTATAGTAGTACCATATGAAAAATTTTGAACTTTGAGTTTTCAGTAACTAGCAATTTGATTGTTTCATGTTTGTGTACCTCGTTTTGTAGTAAGATAAAACGTAATAGATATCTTCTTGTGTTCCTAATCTGATGAGGCTCAACTACAGGAGTATCTGGAGGGATCTGTTCAAGCATCACCAAGCAATCATGAAGTGCTAGGTGATTCAGTAGTGTAACGCCCTCAAAATAATAACATTAAACCCAACCATATAGGGACGTGCATTGATACATAAAGGTCCACATTCATCAATTCATCAGGCTATTTCATTACAACAGTATTACATTTTTACAACACAAAAGCAAATGCCCTACGGACTTACAGCTTTCCAAATTAACGCTTGGTTACAAAAGAGAGTGCTAACTCAATTACACCTTAAGCTCTTGGCTTGAAACTATATGTAATACAATCAAGGAAAATAAGACAGCCAAAGTATGTCTGCCTCTAGCCTCCCAAGCTATGCCTCTAGAGGTGGCATGCTACCTGTACCTGAAAATGATGTCCCCATATAGGGTGAGCCACAGCCCAGTAGAAATATACTAAACCAACTATGAACAATGACTAAGAGATTAGCAACTGGTAGATGGTCAACACTTACACTTCCATTTACATCTTATTACAATTTCATGACGGTCAAGTCTAGGTTACAATTCACCTTCCATTTCTTATTCAACTTTGAGTTTCAAAACAAAGTTCATTACTCTGGCCAACACATTTGATGAGATTATAGTTCATCAGTAGAACATTTTCGAAATTCAAGATGGATACACATTTTGGTGTTGTATCAATAACACATAAACTACTTCCATACTTCACAAACGATGATGATATACATTTTAGTGCTATATCAAAGCAAACAAACTTTTCAATAGATAAGCATATGAGCTATATCACTACTACAACAGATAAGTATATGAGCTATATCAATACTTCAACAGATAAGCATATGAGCTGCAGCCTTGGGTCCATCCCCCATCTTCCCTTAACCATTAACCGGTTTAGAGGTACATCCCCCATCTTCCCCTAAACCGTGGAGTACATCCCCCATCTCCTCCCATACACAAGTAATGCATATAAACATAGAATCACATACGCAATCAATCAATACATAAAGTTAATGTATTCTATCAACTGTCTACACATAATGCATATAAACACATTGGCCATATGCACAATCAACCAACACATAAAGTTAATGTATTCTATCAACCGTCATACTCTATGACACATCTAATTGATTAGTTTTAGTTTGCCTAATAATCATGCATTGTCTACAACAATCAACACTACCCTCCACCGGTAGCCCAAAGCAATTATTTCTAAGCAGGAAATAAATGCACAAGTGGATAATATATCAACATTTCAACTAGATGAGCAATAAAAGATTCGACTACATTCTTTAGTCCCTTACATTCCCAATTTCAACATTCTCAATTCAATTCCTCGTTTTCTTGAATTAATTTTATGCATTAATTAATTAAGCCAATTAGGGCAAATTACCATAATTCACAAAACAACCCTAAGATTCCATTTCCATCAATGTCCCAACATTAATCTCATTTCTCTATGCCAAACATGCATATAGGTTTATATATTTAAAACCCCAACTTTTGTAAAATTACACAAAAGACCCAAACTTTCTCAAATCTACCCAACAACACCCAACACATCAAAATGCTAAAATTTAAAGACAAAATCCATAAGGAAGAGTAGGATATCCCTACCTCAAAAGATGACACTCAACGGAGAAGACGAAGAAACTCAACGTGCTCCAAAACTCAATGTGAGAAAACAACTCCTACTAGATCAATCCTAAGAGAGAAGTTAGGGTTTTAGTGAGAGGAACTCTCAAAATAGCTTTTTGGAAAAGTAAGAGAGAGAAAGGATGTTGAAAAGTGAACAAAAAGGTTGGATCTCGGCTTTATATAAAAGTCGCCCCGCTCGAGCGGCAAAATCCCCGCTCGAGCGTCACTCACAGATCCCCGCTCGAGCGTCCAATCCCCCGATCGAGCGACGGATGCACACTCCCAGAACTTTTACAGACATGGTGCTCGCTCGAGCGTCAAACTCCCCGCTCGAGCGTCAGACACAAACTCTTGCTCGAGCGGCCAATCCCCCGCTCGAGCGTCTACCACTGCAGACGAAAGAAACTAGATGGGTGATTTCCCCGCTCGTGCGCCAACACCCCAGCTTGAGCGGACAAGCAACAACAGAGTCCCGCTCGAGCGGAGAGACCAAAAACTGGGCAAAGATTTTACGTTTTAAAACACAACCAACTTATTCCCAACTTGCCCAACACAACCCAAAGCTCGAACACAAAGACAAAGGGATAGAAAGAGGATAAGACAACAACACCCTTACGAAACCGAATCCGGATTACAGTTAAGCACGAAAGGGAAAACCGGGATCGCTATAACCTCCCCCCCTTAAAGAATTTCGTCCCCGAAATTAAGGATATGCCAAAACACAAGGCCAATTGATCACAGAGCATTCAACATCCGAGCCCCAAGGAAAGAAATTACTTTCAAAAGAAACCTCCGACTCACTCTTACCAAGGAAGAGACTAACCAAGGGAACACATTCTAAACGACAACACCTTAGGTACGCAAGCCTCACCAAACCAAACCTCCCCCGAAACAATTCACCAATAATCGACTAGTGCTTCAAGCTAAGTCACTACTCAACAACACGACCAAAGCAAATCTTTAGAGTAGATAACAAGAAAATATTTTCTTGTTCAAGAGGCATTTCTCAAAGATGTTTAAATTTTCAACGTTAACGTTCCGGAATAAATCTTGCATTTTCCATATGAAAACTTAAAAGCTTTGTAAACATTTTTCACAAATACGGTGTTACCCAAAACGCAGAGTCACCCACAGTTTATTTGCCAAAAAGATTAATCTAAAATTCTTTAAAATCCTTGAATTAAATCAACTTTTCAACAACGCCCTCAGATGGCCCAAACACTGGGAAAATTTTGTCTTCCATTCCTTTCCAAAACAGCACTATCCACAACCATCACTCACACAGTGATGCCACAACCGACACAGAATATAACATTTCTATAATGATAGTTAATAGAAATAACAACAGTACTAACAACACATAAGGCATAAGAAAATCATGGTTTTGCAATTTCATCCCGCCTCCCTTTACAAAAAAAATATCATAAATACGGCTCAGGACTTGGCCAACAACCAAATGAGAGCACATCTCATCCCAACAATACCCCCCTTTAATACACAAATGATATACATTTTAGTGCTGTATCAATATCAAACCAAACATCATATATACATAATGTATAAAAAGCCAATCCTTCACAATGATCAATCAATACACATAAGATGTATTATTCCAACCGTCAGATTCAATGACAAAACATGTTCTATTAGTTTCAGTTTTCCCTAATCAACATACAAAGTCTACAATAAACGAGACTAAACTCAAGGTGACTAATGCCAACCCAAAACCCGATACCGGCAAGTCGCCTAATCAACTCAATAAACTCTACACCCAGTAATCCACACACTGATGTGCCACTCAAACCACTAACCCCAAACACGGAGTTCCCTATACAAACCACAAATTTTGGAATCTCACCGGATCTCCTAAAATTGAACCGCATCAACACTGCGTCTAAGGAAATCACCGTCCCCCACCATGACTATCTAGCAAGCCTGCTCACTTCCTTGACTGAAGACCGACACGGTCAACCTCAATCACAACAATCCCAAACACGAAGGACCACTTTGACCAACGCTATATTCATTACTCTAAAACACAAACTATTCTTCCTTCAAAGAATGCTACCGGCATCCACTCACAACCCCACACCCAACAATTGATAACCAATCACAATACGAACACTACCCCTATACAACCAATGGGGTCACCACGGACTCACTAGCTAGCAAGGCCCAAAACACGAACCAACATACAGGTACCATTCCCACTAACTCGAGATACAAATCTCACATTCCCTCGAATATTCTCACATAGTCTTGCCAACACCGCGCAACTCTCAAAACCATCACATCTAACACATTCAACTGTACTAGACAAAACCTCCTTATTTTGCAAGTCCTCTTACTCCCACTCCGAATCCCCCAATAACTCATAGGGTCCACTCGTTACTCTACATCTTACTTGTCACTCATCTCGAGAGTACCATCAAGAGGCCCGGCCCTCCGTGCTGAACCACTAGTCAGAACTACCGCTAGGCAACCATCATGAACCAAACCCCGACACCGTTACAAGTCGCCGACAAGGCTTTCAAAGATTCACTCTTCTAACTTTCCAGAGGAGTAAAAGTCCTCGCCTCCCTCGTCATTAACCCACATCTTCATCCGCAAACACCATACCACTATGACTCCATCCACGGGTCACACTTTAACCACGGGCTATATACCCAATTAACTCTTCTGATAACATCCTCTGACCTGACCAGTGCTAAGGTACGAACCGATCACATTCGATCCAAATAAAGGAATTTGAAAACTTAGGAAACACCCATTATACTACTGCCCGAGATATAGTACCAACTACCCACAACACATCGCTCCCGATACAACAATCACAACCTTATATAGGGACTAACATCCCCTCACTTAAAACGGCCAATCAGTACACCTGCAATCTCGGCAACGTTATTTACCACGAAGGTACAAGTCCAACCTTAACAAAATTATGCGCTATGCCCCCGTAGGACACCATATTAAATACGTGTTACATCTAGTATTAATCGCACACTTCACATCCTCTTGAGTTCACCCGACAGTAGACCAAAATCTATACCACGCACAAAATTTTAAATGGGTAATACCCATGAAATTCCACACACTCGGCAAGTAAAACAGTTCTCGCTCCAATATTGCCTTGGCTAGGACACGCACCCCTCGGTGGTTCTTCCAAATTTTGAAAACATGGCTCCTCAGCCCTCATCTTTCCCAAATCAAGTCACACGCATAAAAAAAAAAAAGAAGCATTAATACCAAAAATTTTATGATTTTACAGCAACTTATTACATTAACAAAACTGTAGAGCTACAACAGGCTCCAATTCACCCACTCCAGGGAAATTAACAAACAAAGCATATATGTATATATATAGATAAACAAACAGTTTAGATGCTTCAACATTCTCAAAACACATTGGTTACACAACAGAACCCAATGATCACAAAACAATAATCTACTGATTGCAAAACGGATTAGTCAAAACAAAACCATCCCATCGGTATTACCACCACTACCGTCCCTTGCTGGACCGCCGAAGTTGGTCATCCCCGAACATAAGATAACCTACGAGCTTACAAGCCACGGGCAAGAACTACTGACGTGCCCCCTCTGTCCACACCTGGAACAACTACAAACTTCCCCGACTGGGGCTTGGGAACTCGACTCCACTGAGGCCCTCGCAATCTGGCCTGCTAGTCCCCATAACGATACTGTTCCTGCCTAGTCGAATGAAATTGAGCCTGGCTAGGTTGCAAAACCCCTAAAGAAGCCCCCTGCTGAGTACAGAAATGTCGAATATGACCCGGCTGATTACACATCCAACAAGTAGGCGGTGCCTGAGCATGAGACTGGTTCAGAATCTGGGCTGATGAAGACTCCAACAACTGCCTCCCCACTGAGCATTTGATCGGCCCATAACCCGGCTGGTTAGGTGATCCTGGTGGTACAACTACTAGTTGAACTGCTAACCCTGCCCCCTTCCTCTGTGGGCAACCCGAAACCTTGTGGCCCAGTAGACCACATTTGAAACAAAAGACACCCCTCTGTTTACGTTCTCCCGAACCCAAATCCGACACTAGAAAGGTAGTTCTAGCCCGACCTCCCTGTTGCGGGTTTAAACCCCTCTGCCTCTTAAAAGGCCTACCAACACCCTGAGTCACGGGAATTGCCGAGATGGCTCCCTCCCCACTCTGCCCCATTGCTAGCACCGCAACCTCTACATGGGCAGCTGCCTCAACAAGCACACTATATCTTTTATGCCAAGACCCCGCTATCCTTACACAGATGTCGTCACGCAGCTTACTCTCAAACTCGAAACAACGCAAGTCCTCCGTCTCCACCAATTCTGGAGCACACCTCGACAGGTTAGCAAACCATCTTTTGAACCGCACCAAAGGTGTAGTACCTTGGCGTAACTCCATAAACTGTTTCCACAACTCTTCCCGAGCGGAAGGAGGGAAATCGCAACTTCCTCGCCTAGGCATCCTAGTAAAAGTAACAGAGACACGTTAGCACAATCATACATGTGCCGAAGCTAAACACTCATGTCCTAATACATGGACAACTGTAATTCACTCTATGTAAGCACATAAACACATAGGCACTTACGAATTTCATTTCCGGATAATGATAGTCCCGAGGGGTTACTAGAGTTCCGGTCAGAAACAGCATTGATCAAGTGCCTTTCCAACAGGACTCCCAGAAACCCAAGGATCCAATCAACATCCAAGAAACTACATTCCATACCCAAATAATCACATAAACATGTTATCACATAAGTACATAACATTACGTCTAAGTCTCTAACAAGCGAGACAAACCCATTATGATACTAATCACTTCCCACGTACCCAAAGTATTCGAACCCGGTACGCTTTGATACCAAGTTGTAACGCTCTCCAAATAATAACATTAAACCCATCCATATAGGGACGTGCATTGATACATAAAAGTCCACATTCATTATTCATCAGGGTATTTCATTACAACAGTATTACATTTTTACAACACAAAATCAAATGCCCTACGGGCTTACAGCTTTCTAAGTTAACACTTGGTTACAAAAGAGAGTGCTAACTCAATTACACCTTAAGCCCTTGGCTTGAAACTATATGTAATACAATCAAGGAAAATAAGACAGCCAAAGCATGTCCGCCTCTAGCCTCCCAAGCTATGCCCTTAGAAGTGGCATGCTACCTGTACCTGAAAATGATGTCCGCATATAGGGTGAGCCACAGCCCAGTAGAAATATACTAAACCAACTATGAACAATGACTAAGAGATTAGCAACTGGTAGATGGTCAACACTTACACTTCCATTTACATCTTATTGCAATTCCATGACGGTCAAGTCTAGGTTACAATTCACCTTTCATTTCTTATTCAACTTTGAGTTTGAAAACAAGGTTCATTACTCTGGCCAACACATTTGATGAGATTATAGTTCATCAGTAGAACATTTTCGAAATTCAAGATGGATACACATTTTGGTGTTGTATCAATAACACATAAACTACTTCCATACTTCACAAACGATGATGATATACATTTTAGAGCTATATCAAAGCAAACAAACTTTTCAATAGATAAGCATATGAGCTATATCACTACTACAACAGATAAGCATATGAGCTATATCAATACTTCAAGAGATAAGCATATGAGCTATATCAGTACTTCAACAGATAAGCATATGAGTTGTATCATCACTACAATGGGAGAGCATATGAGCTGCATCCCTGGGTCCATCCCCCATCTTCCCTTAACCATTAATCGGTTTAGAGGTACATCCCCCATCTTCCCTTAAACCGTGGAGTACATCCCCCATCTCCTCCCATACACAAGTAATGCATATAAACATAGAATCACATACGCAATTAATCAATACATAAAGTTAATGTATTCTATCAACTGTTAACACATAATGAATATAAACACATTGGCCATATGCACAATCAACCAACACATAAAGTTAATGTATTCTATCAACCGTCATACTCTATGACACATCCAATTGATTAGTTTTAGTTTGCCTAATCATCATGCATTGTCTACAACAATCAACACTACCCTCCACCGGTAGCCCAAAGCAATTATTTCTAAGCAGGAAATAAATGCACAAGTGGATAATATATCAACATTTCAACTAGATGAGCAATAAAAGATTCGACTACACTCTTTAGTCCCTTACATTCCCAATTTCAACATTCTCAATTCAATTCCTCGTTTTCTTGAATTAATTTTATGCATTAATTAATTAAGCTAATTAGGGCAAATTACCATAATTCACAAAACAACCCTAAGGTTCCATTTCCATCAATGTCCCAACATTAATCTCATTTCTCTATGCCAAACATGCATATAGGTTTGTATATTTAAAACCCCAACTTTTGTAAAATTACACAAAGGCTCAAACTTTCTCAAAATTACCCAACAACCCCCAACATATCAAAATGCTAAAATTCAAAGACAAAACTCATAAGATGGAGTAGGTTATCCCTACCTCGAATGATAGGACTCAACGAAGGAGATGAAGAAACGAAAATGTTCCAAATCCCGAAATTTTCAGATTAAAAGATAGCCCCCGACGATCAACACAACTTTTGTAAAAGCCCAAGGTGAGAAAACAACTCCTACTAGATCAATCCTAAGAGAGAAGTTAGGGTTTTAGTGAGAGGAACTCTCAAAATAGCTTTTTGGAAAAGTAAGAGAGAGAAAGGATGTTGAAAAGTGAACAAAAAGGTCGGATCTCGGCTTTATATAAAAGTCGCCCCGCTCGAGCGGCAAAATCCCCGCTCGAGCGTCACTCACAGATCCCCGCTCGAGCGTCCAATCCCCCGATCGAGCGACGGATGCACGCTCCCAGAACTTTTACAGACATGGTGCCCGCTCGAGCGTCAAACTCCCCGCTCGAGCGTCAGACACAAACTCCCGCTCGAGCGGCCAATCCCCCGCTCGAGCGTCTACCACTGCAGACGAAAGAAACTGAATGGGTGATTTCTTTGCTAGAGCGCCAACACCCCCGCTCGAGCGGACAAGCAACAACAGAGTCCCGCTCGAGCGTCAAAAGCGCCGCTCGAGCGTAGAGACCAAAAACTGGGCAAAGATTTTACGTTTTAAAACACAAGCAACTTATTCCCAACTTGCCCAACACAACCCAAAGCTCGAACACAAAGAGAAAGGGGTAGAAAGAGGACAAGACAACAGCACCCTTACGAAACCGAATCCGGATTACAGTTAAGCACGAAAGGGAAAACCGGGATCGCTATAAGTAGCCTGGGGTGGTTGTACTATAATATACCTACTTGGCCAACAACTGTACTTTGAACTGTTCGATTTTTCATACCAAGTCCTCAATGTTACAGAAGTGGAAGCTACACCAATTATGCATACTCAGAAGTATGCTCCTTCTGTGTAGGTATAAACATTGTCTTTTATTTATAATTACTTCCTCAATTACATAGTTAATTGTTGATTTTCTTTTATTCTTGTTGATTGTTACCTCATGATATTACCGCGTATACTTTGAATGCTAGTCTATTCATAATGTCAACCTCTTTTATTGTGTTGTAGCTTGTATTTCCATCTCAATGGTTCCTCTAACTGTTCTTATATGTGGGGGGATCATTGCCCTAGTTTGAGTAGTCACCAAGTGTACCAGTGTTGCAGCCCTAACTGTCATTTACTGCTTCAAGGACTCTCATTCTATTTCATGTGATTAACCAGAAAAGATGTCCATTTAGGTGTATTTTTGAAATTTTTCGTTTGCTGGAATTTCAGGTGTGGAATGTCGATCTAGGTGTAATGCAGCAAAGGCTTTAGCTTATCTTCATTAGCAGTAGTCTATTGTCTTGATTAATCTAGATGAGATGCCAAGATATGTAGTATCAAAATAATATTTCATTAACTTGGCTAATGGGCATTCATTTTGGTGCTCACTATAGAAATAGAGATTTAAGGGACAATTGATGAGTACAAAGCCTATATATGTGCTAACTTCATATAATGTGTGGTGTTCGCATTTTAGTGCGTATTTGAGTATTTGAGACATTCAAAATAATAGGTTGACGAGGGGACTAAGTAAAAAAGGAGTGCAGAAAGTGCAGGAAGATTAAGAGTGGAATGTGACTATCATTACTCTTTCTTATATATATATATTTATGAAATCGGAATTACAGAACTAATATGAAAATCAGTGTCTTTACATAAAGCAACATATTCTTAAAATCTCCTGCCGTAATATTGATGTTCTTTTATTTAGGAAATTATAAACTAAATACTATTCATCTAGCAGTCCAAACATGAGCAGCTGAGTCATCTTTGAAATGAATTTTAACTCTGACCGTCATGTAAAACTGATTCCAATAAAATGATAATTAATTCTTTTGTTGCATTTGACTTTTTTTTGTTTTTGTTTCTGACTGAATTCTACTTTCCGAAAAAGGGGTGGGAAGCCCTACTAGAAGCAATGAAGAAAGCAAGGAGGTTGAATAATCATGTGTTTTCGATGCTGAAAGCCCGCTGCCCGCTGGAAGACAAACAGGCATGCGCCATTAAGCAAAGTGGTGCCCCGCTACATCGCATCAAGTTTGAAAACACAGTCTCTGCATTTGAAACGTTGCCGCAGAAAGGTTCTTAAGTTGATTCTTCCTTCAATCTCTGTTGCCTTTTTTATTTTTATTTTATCTTCTTTTTGTATAGTATATATCTGCTTGTTCATGGTGCCAAAGATTGTTGGCATTGAAGCTCTTCTTCACGTCTGATGTAATAATCAAAACATCACAATTAACAAAATCCGACATTAATATCAAAACATCACAATTTACTTTATGTCCAAAATTAGATTAAAAAATGATACATTGACAGTCATGCAATATAAATATATAACTCACACCAGTGAGACAAATTCAAATTTTAATATAATATATTTGTACGTCACGTAAAAAGCTAACGTGACATTTTTTGTCGAATTTTAAACAAAATTAAAATGATACATGGACAGTCACGAAACATAAAAATATTTTAGGGTAAATTAAAAATGCTCTCCAATGTTTGTTTAAAATACGATTTGTCTCCTGTAGTTTTGAAAATTACATACAATCCCTTGAAGTTTCTAATTTCATAAGAAATGGCATATTTTATTAATAAATCATCAAATCAATTAATAGTTTTACGACTATCAACATTGTTAGAGGGTTTA